TCCACTCATGCACACAAACATGCCACAGGCCCTGACATTAAAGCACACAGAGCTAAACTCTAGGTCAGAGCAGAATCCTCCCATAAAAGCTGCCACATGACTTCAGGACACTCCGACTGCTGCACCTTCTCTGACACTCCCTATACAACTCAGAAACACAGATGCTCATTCTCTCATCTTCTCTTTTTAACAACAAATAGGTACATGAGCAGTATTTTATAAGTCAAATACTTCTAGAAAGCTTGTTGCGAACACAAATGTCTCCAGTTGTCCATGAGCCCCACTGTCTGATGCCCAGAGCCATCCTGCTTCACTTCTTCTGCCTGGTTCTTGTGACTTCTGTGCCTCTAAACAGCACGCTGATGGTGCTCATTCCTTCTCGTTCTATGTGACATCTTTAGTAGAAAGCTCCCTTCAGACCCCTGTCTTCCTAATAGTTATTATAATTTTCATTAGTTCCACGTTCACTGCTCACATGACCATAAAAATGCTAGTCTCTACTAGGCTATCAGTCATGATTACTTTCTTCCTTGACTTGATTTTTTAAAATTTCCCTAGAGTTGATAACTGTGCTGTTCCTTCATTTGCTTAATTTCTGGTATATTCTTCACAGCATCTCTCCCTAACTCTCCCCCAGCCTCCATTATAGTTTGACTATAGCCCCCATAGTTCAGGTTGAAAACATGACCCCCAGTGTGGTGTTGGGAGCTGGGCCTACAGGGCGATGTCTGGGTCACGGGGGGCACTGCCTCCTGATCACAGGGACACCATCCTCACAGGAGGGCACCCTGCTCACCTCTCCTGCCCTCCTCTTGCTCATCCCCTTCCCCCACGTGAGGACACGGAAGGTTCTTACCAGATGCGGCTGCCTTCCCCCTGGACTCCCCAGGCTCCACACCTGAGAAAATACAGTCTGTTCCTACAATTTACCACACCTGTGTGCTCTGCTAGAGCAGACTGAGCAGCTCCATAGACAAGTGCAAGCCTCTCCTGTAGCTCCCCAATGTCATCTCCAGGAGATGCCTGTCCCCCAGCCCTCAGTCCTACACAGGTGGACTGGACGCCTGTACATCTGAGCAGGGCTGACATCGGCCCCTTGCTTCATTCTTTTGCTGGTTCCACTGTTATTTGAATCCCATGTGTCTCCTTTTATGGTTTTCTCCATCATCTTTGTTCTCACTTCATCTTGCAGTCTCCTAAGGAACACAGAAAGTAAAATATTAAAACCACAATCACCGGAAAATGGCTTTAGGCTACCTTAACACTTATTCCAACTTTGACTTAGTACATAATTTACATAATTCTTTTTTGAAAATATTTTTACTTGGAAAAATAACCCCTTGATCTCCTCCTGAGCTCTGAGCCTAGTGACCACCTGTCACAGAATTTTCTGGAACACTGAAACTGTCCACTTGTTGGGTGTAGAGTCATCGCCATTACCTGGTGAGTCAGGAATCCATGAGGGATGAATCAACAAGTCTCTGAGAGAAGATCCCTGAGCACCCAGCTCCACCGCCTCCCTCACCTCTGAGTCCTCTTCAGTCTGTACAGCTCCTCATGGGTTTGGTCTGAAATTACCCTGGACCCTTTCAGTACACACATGGTATCAGCACCTGAGACATGCTAGGTGCCCACTAGTCATACCTACCATAACTGCATTAGTGCAGCATTTAGATGGTTTCCATTTTCTTGCTTTTGTAAACCACAATTCAAGCACATGTGTGATTATTTTCTTGGGATAATTCCTAAAATAGAAATTTCTGCTTGGAAATATGAGAACGTTTAAATTGTCAAGTTGTTTTACAAAAGTCCTCTTTAGAAATTTTGGACCTTAGGTGGTCAGTGGCACAACAGTAACACAACTCTCTGTGAGGCTGGCTCACGTGGTGAGGTCCAGGGTTCTTATCTGATTGCCCCAGATATGCCAGGCACATGCACACCCATGATTCGGCCTGGCTGGCTGAAGGCTGGGGGTAGACTGGCAAGAGGTCTTATTCAGGGAGCTGTCTCTGTTTCTCTCTCTCTCTCCTTCTGTCTTTATTGCTCCTGGAATGAATAAATAAATAAATAAATAAATAAATAAATAAACAAATAAATAAATAAAATTTTAAAAGAAAGTTTGTCCTCAACCATCATTTACTCAATTCTTGTAAGAGTAGAGTTTTCCTACTATATATCCAATACTACCATCATTTACTTTCCTCTTTGTCAAACCAATTTAAATTTTTATTCCCATTTTTAACTTCAAATTTTGATTTTTTTCACATTTATTACTAATATAGATGTTTGATGTCTGCATTTCACCTATTACAAATTGTTTCCAAATATTCTTTATTTTTTCACAATTGGGATGTAAGTACTTAAATATACTGAGTTTACAGGGACCAGCAGTTGGTGTAATGGCTATGTCACTGGACTCCCATGTAGTTGACCATGGTTCGAGACCTGGACCCGGTGACTTAAACTCATGTGGGGCATGTGTGCGTGCGTGCCCAAGATCCGGAGAGAAGAATGGAAAGAAGGGACTGTGTGTGATGTGGCCATCCCCTCTGGGGGGTGATTTCTCACTTTCTCTCTGTCTCTCTCTGTCTTTCTGGTGAGCACACAGGCCCTATAGCAAAAACCTCTCAAAAAAATAAAACAATACTGAGTTTATGAAAGAAGCAGTTCAGCCCTATGGCCTAGTGGTTAACAGAGTTGGATCCCACATGGTCAACCATGCTGTTTAAGTCCCAGCCCTACTAACTTGAAAAACATGATGGGCATGTGTGAGTGCAAATCCTGACAGCATGGAAAGCTGAAGGAGAAGAAATCCCGGTATGGCCATGTCCCATTCGGAGGTGCCTTCTTTCTCTTCCTCTTTCTCTGTCTCTCTCTGAGGAGTGCTTGAACTCTGTGTCAAACTAAAAAACAAAAAAAAGGGAAGAAGAAAAGAAGGAAAGAAGAAAAATGAAAGGAAGGAAGAAAGGAAGGAAAGAATGAAAAGCGTCTCTCAACATCTGGGGCTGGTCTGAACTTCATAGCCTCAATATTGGTAGGCGGTGTCCTGGTGCAGACAAGCAGGCCATGTCATTCTCGTGTTGGACATGACCACTTGAACTACTTCACAAAACAACATCAGATAAGAACAACAGAGCTATGATAACACAAAAAAACACAGAACTACGAAATAACTTTTTTCGAAGCACAAACCAAGGCTTTGTGCAACTTACAAAATAGCCACATCTCCTCATGCCGGCTGATATGAGTGATGCTGTTTCTTTACCAATTACAGCTTTATCCCTGTTATCATCCACACTCACAATAGGTCAGATTTATTGGGACAATCAGTCACAGAATCACTCCTGCTTCTCAAAAATTCCCAATCTAGAGTGAATGCTTGCTTCCTTCCTTCTCCTCAAACTCATTCAACCAGAGTCCAAATCTCACAATAAGCTCTTCCTGATCTCCTGAAACATAATCCCCAGCAAGATGGTATTAGAAAGTGAGACTTTTGGGAGGTGATTAGGTCATGACCGTGGAGCTATCATGACTGGGATTAGGACTTTAATAAAAGAGATCCCCACTACTGCCATGTCCCTCTGCCATGTGAGGACATAGCTGTCCTGGAGGAAGGGGACCCTCACCAGACATAGACAGTGGTCAACACCTTGATATTGGACTTCTCAGCCTCTAGAACTGTGGAAATAAATCTCTGTTGCTCATAAGTGACCCAGTCTAAGGCATTTTTGTTACAGCAGCCTGACAGACTAAGAAAACTGTGCTTGATACTATATGGGAATCAAGTAAAGCTCATCAGGTGCATTTTTTAAAGGGTCAAGATTAATTATCACACAGATTACATCAGGTTTCTATCTGGGAGATGGACACATAAAAGCCAAATGGGTCATGAGAGCAGCTCTCTGGTGCCTCAGGTACATACTGTTCCAGTTTCAAAGAAGAAACACATGTCCCTCCACCTCTTCTCCCAGGCTTAGGACACTGGGCCGTCACATTTCCAGGGAAGAGATTCTTTTCCAGAAAAGCCCCTGGACAGAGCACTAGCTAAGTTTTGGGAGGCAGGAAGTCCAGCTCAGGGGAGGGATTCTGGGAAGAGGCAAAGAGGCTGGGGCCAGATGGGAATTCTCCAAGGTGTACTTGGAACAGCAGCTCTCAAAGTATAGTCTGTGGAATGTTTGGAGGTGTTGAGATTCACCATTCACAGAATTCACAAGGCTAAAACTATTTTTATAATATCATTAAGACATTATTTGCATTAAAGTAAAACCTAGCAAAAGTAAAGGTGAGGGTATTAACTGTATTCTTCACCACTAACTTGAAGAAGAAAGTCAGTTCTACTTCAGCAATTCCTGGTTAGGGTATTTATAGATTATTAACTTTAGGAGGTGGCTAGATCCCACGTGGCTGACTTCACTGTTCAAATTCCAACCTTGACAGCTTGAAAATTATACTGGGCGGGATCTCTGCCTTTGTTGGCCCTCTGGGTTCAGCTTCATGGCTGTGAGTCCCTCCCTCCCATGCCCAGGACTCCCACCTTCAAGATCCCAGTGCTAGTCAAGTGGACAAGAGTTTCTCTTCCTCTTGTTCTTCTCTGTCCCTTCTAACTTTAAAAAAAAAAAAAAAACAGCTTTGTGTCCCATTTGTGCCCTTCTCTTGCTAATTTGTCTCTTCTTCCCTCACCTAGGACAGAAAGCATCCAGGCATCTCCATCTCTGCCCCTGTTGACCTTCCATTTATAACCCAATTTTATTTCCTACAATATGATTTATATATTTTCTCCACTTTCTGTTCCAGTTCTTTCCTTCCTTTTTCTTTGCTTTTTATTCCTATTTCTATTTCCTACTTTCTTTTCTTTTACTTTACTTTCCTGTTTTATCACTCAGCTCTTACCCACTGCATAGAGAAGACTAGATGCATAGTAGCTAAACATCTGAATATTTTGAGTTTTAGAGAATTCCTTGCACCCCACTGTAGTGGTTGCAAAAAGAGTAAAACTCTCCTTCATAAATGTCATTTCAAAACACCTATAATTCCCACACTGGAGGCCACAGTAGAGGGAGAAAATAGCACCAAATTATTTCACAATAAGGGAAACACAGGAGCTCACAGCTACAGAATCTTTCTCCAACAAATTAGCCAAACGTGAATACATTAGCAATGACTAAAAATAAGAGAGGAACCACAAGGATGAGAGAATCAAGTAATACATCTCCAGCAAGGGAACACTGTAGTTCATCTCCAAGTAGGGAAAAATTAGAGGATATTACTGAAATGTTAAAAAAATAATTTAGAATATTTATGGTAACAAAATTCTATGAGATGCAAGAAAAAAGAGACATTGAGCTCCAAGAGAAGAGGAAGTCCTTCCACGATATGAAAGAAGGATTGGAATCCATAAAAAAGAATCCAACGGAAGTGTTAGACATGATGTCTATAATACAGAAAATCCAAACCTCCCTCAAAGGTATTAAAAGCAGGTTAAACTATAACGAAGATCGAATCTTGGAAGTAGAAGACAAACCTCTGATGCAGAAAAAAATGATCAAATACTGAGAAAACAGTTACGAAAACTGAGGATAATATATGAGAAATGCCAGATACCATGAAATGCCCAAACATCCAAATAATTGGTATCCCAGAATGTGAAGAAACTAATAAGGGCACTGATAGTCTATTCCGTGAAATTCTGGAAGAAAACTTTCCAAATCTAGGGAGACACTCAAACATCCAGACTCAAGAAATACAAAGAACTCCAAGTACAATCAATCCGAGAAGATCCTCTCCACATCATAGCTAGACTGGCCAAAACTACAGATAAAGACAAGATACTAAGATTGGCAAGAGAAACATGTCAAATCACTTACAAAGGATATTCCATCAGGCTAACACGAGACCTCTCATCAGATACAATGCAAGCAAGAAAAGAATGGGGAAATATTTTCAAAGTGTTAAATGAAAAACAATTACAACCAAGAATACTATACCTGCCAAGATTATCCTTTATATGGGAAAAGATAAAAATCATTCTTGGGTAAACAAAACCTGAAAGAAGTTACCAGTTCTAGACCAGTTCTTCAAGAAATTCTGGAAGGAGTACTATAGCAAGAAAACTAAAGAGAGACAAACAGCTTTAAGAAAACAAAGAAACAAACAAACAAGAATATGACCAACTTAATGGCAGGGACAAGTCTGGAAATATCGATAACATTAAATGTTAATGGATTAAATTCTCCAATCAAGAGACACAGACTGGCTGAATGGATTAAAAATCAGAAACCCTCCACCTGCTGCTTACAAGAAACTCATCTCATGAATAAAGACACACATAGACTAAAAGTGAAAGGTTGGAAAAAGATATTCCTTGTAAATGGAAACAAAAAAGAGCAGGAGCCACTATACTAATTTCAGACAAAATAGGCTTTAAGACAAAGAATGGTGAATAGTAAAAGGGCAAATTCACCAAGAAGATATAATGCTTATAAGTATCTATACATCCAACTCAGGAAAACCTAAATATGTAAAAGAAAGACTGGTAGATCTAAAAGGAAAATCATACTGGGCAGGTGTGTATGTATGCTGAAAACTGAGAGGAGAAAAATCCAGCGGCCCTTTCTGTGAATAATGGAGAAACAAAGAGGGGTAATCAAAGTTCATTTCACTGTGTTCGAGCACAGGGAGTGACTGAGAGCTAACAAGCTCACAACCATCTCCGAGAACAGAAATTTCTAGCATGTTACATTCCATTACAGTTCTCATTTATCCATTGTTATCTATAACATATATTTAGAGGGTGCCAGTAGATGGCAAAGCAGGTATGTCATTGGACTCCTGCATGGACTCCCAAATGCCTGGCACATGTGCATGTGTGCCCAGGATTTCAGGAGGAGAATGGAGGAGAATGGATTGCAGCATAGCCACCCTGCCCCAAAGGTGATTTCTCACTTTTCCTTTCACTGTCTCTGTCACTCACTCTCTTTAGCAAAAGCACGTACCCTAAGGCAAAAACCGCTAAATAAATAAATTTAGTTAGCTCAGTGGTGTTTTTACCCTCACGATGTTCCCAAGATCGGTCTGTGGAACCGTTCCTTTCACATGATGTCTGTGACCCTGTTTTTGTTATGGTGACATTGAATCTGTTAACTCATATTTGTGATATACATTGACAGAATAAAGTAAGCTACAACATACTTTCTTTTTCTTTTTCAAGAGAGTTTTGCCTTAGGGCACTAGGGCTGGCTGGAGAAAGAGAGAGAGAGAAAGATTCAGAGATAGTGATGAGAAGGTGAGAAGTCACCCCTGGGGAGGGATGGCCACACCACAATCCCCATCCTTCATTTTTCTTTTGGGATCTTGGGCACACATGCTCACACACCCTTGCATGATTTTCAAGCCACTGGGTCTGGGACTCCAAAAGCAGTCGGTCATGGTCATGTTCAAGCTTAGCATGTAACTGCCACACCATGTGCTGGCCCCCAACACATTTTCTGTAAACTATACTGTTTTAACAATCTAAACATGTGTGATAACTATTATGGTGAACAATAACGTTACTACAGTTTTCCCAGTTGAACTTGTTAAATTGTGTTCCTTGAGTAAAGGTACCTAGTTTTCACCTGGGACCTGGCCTGGGGTGCATCTTTGTGACCACTGGCTAAAACAAGTGGCTTAAGTTTTCTCTTGTAAGCAAACAGGCTTATTTATGACCTCATTTGTAACAACAGTTACAGATTACATTAGGTACAGAACCCCCTATTACCAGTTAACCCTGAAAGTACAAAATAGAGGAATAAAACAAAGTAAAAACAGTTAAAAACGGTTTGGTTTTACCTGTTCTAGGAAGAGTGACGATTGCAGAGTGGTCATACCCTGGGGGGTGATTTCTCACTTTCTCCATCTATCTCTGTCTCGGGCTCTCTCTAGCAAGTGCAAATACCCTACAGCAAAAACTTACCAAAAAAAAAAAAAGATTAACTTGATTAAATCTTCACTCTAGTGTCCACACTTTTAAATGTCATACATAATTAGATGGGAAATATGAACAAAACATTTTTAGTCCAAAGTAGGGTATTTGTGCCAGAGAAAATAATTTTTTGAGCTACATGAACTCCATTTTAATAGAATAGCAATTTTAATTGAAAGAATGAATGACAGAGATGGAATGATTATTTAAATTCAGGTATTTCACTGACATGTTTCACACTTGAATATTTGGCCAAGCCTGGCTCTTCAAGATAAGCCACTGAAGAAGTTCGCTAATGGTAAAACGTAAGTTTCTGAGAGAAAATTAGACTTTAGGAAAGTATGTTTACCTCTATTACCTAGACAGCTTCCCAATATTTATAACCATTTGTGGCAGAATCTGTGGTAATATTAGTATACCTTTCTTTTTTTTATTTTAGTTTTTGTCATTGAGTGTGCATCCTTGGAGAGAGAGAGAGAAAGAAAGAAGGAAAGTAAGTGAGAAATTGCTTTCCAGTGGGGATGGCACACAACAATCCTTCTCCCATTCTCTTATGGGTATTTGGGCATACACTCGCGCCTGGGTTGATTTTCAAGCTTCAGGTTCAGGAACTCAGACCACTCAGTTAGCAGGTGAGAATCCAGTGCCTTAAACTCCACTGCTGGCCCAACACATGTGATTTTTAAAATAATTTGTGATTTCATAATACTCAAAGAGTTGTATAATTTGCTGAAACAACATATTACTTTTAAAAATCATGCATTTGTGCACGACCCATTCAATGTGCAAGACAGACATGGATTTCAATGTAACAGAGGATGAAATAGTCAGTGACACTGTTTCAGGTTTCACCCTGCAAATAGCTGTGTGTGTGTGTGTGTGTGTGTAAGAAGCTAATATATGTAATTTCAGAGTAGTAGTAAATACAAAAGTCCATGATTGACTGAAAACATTATTAAAAATATATATGTCCTGAGACCAGCATATGATTTAATGGTTACATCACTGGACTCCCATGTTGTCAATCCGGGTTTGAGTCCCAGGTTCAGAGGCTTAAAACTGACGCTGGGCATGTTTGCATGCATGCCCAAAATCCCAAGAGGAGAATGAAGGAGAAGAGACTGCAGCATGGTCATCCCCCCAGGAGGTGATTTCTCACTTTCTGTCTCTCTTTCTCTGTCTCACTGTTGAGTGCATGTGCACTATAGCAAAAATCTCTCTAAAAAAAAATTCTTCCTAAAGATTTATTAAGGCTAGCTTTTTTCATGTATTTCAACTAAAATAACAGATTAAATATATAAGTACATATGGAAATCCAGCGATGTTCTACTGAGACAGATAAGGACTTCCAAAGATGAAAAATGTAAAAATATCCCTTCTTCTAACTATATTGTTTTATTTGGGAAAATAATTATTTCTCATAAAAATATTTCTGTTAGCATGCCTAGGGTTATTAATACTCTAAATGGATTAAATATTTTAAATGGTTTTAACTTCCAATATGTTAACGATGATGGATATAATACATATAAATGAAATTTCTGTGATAGGCAGTTGGCTAGAAATGAGTGGGTAGCCCTAAGAGAATAGCAGGACACCTGCCACAGCAATCACAACCTATCAGGGGTTACTACCAAACTCTCTGTGAAAATGCTTTCTTCCCACCCAGCTCCTGGAGCCAGGAGCGAGGCAGATCCCATTCTTCTTCTTTAATACCTGAGAAAGTCACACAGAGATAGCTGTTAATTTCCCTCTCATCTGTTCTTCATAACTACAAAAGGACCCAACAAGACATTTTGGTCAACATCCTGATTCTCACTGAAGCAATAAACAGATTGGACAGTTGTCCATGTAAGGATGCTCAGAACTTCTAGGTCCACACTGAGCATGTGGGGTCATCAGGTCATTGAATTCTTCACTTGTGAGAGAAATAGGCAAGGTGAGGAGAAAGTCTGTGAATTCAGAGAAGCCAGATACTATGGCAGACTTTCCCCTGCTATTCATTATCAACTCTTAGAATAAAGGTGACACCTAACCCCATGCCCAGGACAGTTGTCCTTCTCTGGCAGCTGCCCACCTGCTGCCTTTAAGGCATGGAGGTGTACTTCTTTCTCATAATCCTCTCTTTCCTATTAAAACCTCCCTTTTCCTACTTTACAAGTGTTTGTGGTTTTTTATTTCGCGTCTCAGGACAGGTCTCTAATCTTAGAGATCAGGACCTAAAGAACCAAGGATTTTACACAACACAGATCAATTCTCCCTTCCTATAACAAATTGTGTTTGGAGTCTTCAGTAATTCCTAAGAGCACCTAAGACTCTGAAACCTAAACTTTTGAGAACCTTTGACCACAGCTCCTATGTAGGCCTCAGGGGGACGAGGTGACAAAGAGAGATCAGTGCAAGACAAAGAGGGTCAGGACGAGGTCTGGGGTCTCAGTCCCGAGGGCAGAGTCCGGGGCAGGGAAGCCCAGCACTGGGGAGTCTCCTTCTCCCCAAGTCTCACTTCTCCCTCTCACACCCCCTGTCGGGTCCTTCTGCCCAGACACTCCTGACGCGAACCCAGCTCTCACTCCCATTGGACACCCTGTTCTCACAGGAGCCAATCAGCGCCATCGTGGCTCTAGATTATAAACTCCCCAGGAACTAGCTGGGGCTCAGATCGCCCCAGACTCTGAGGATGGCGGTCGTGGCGCCCCGAACCCTCCTCCTGGTGCTCTCAGGGGCCCTGGCCCTGACCGAGACCTGGGCTGGTGAGCGCAGGGTCGGGGGTAAGCAGCGTACGGGAGAGCGAGGGGACCGCCCGGCGGGGACGCGGGGCCCGGAAACCCCCGTCTCCGCGCTGTCC